CATTTTGGGGGTTTCCGGTGGCCGCTTGCTCGTTTGCCACCTTATGTTATAAAAAAAAATGCGAAAGTTTAGATGGATGGATGTTTGTTAAAGTTTGTAGCTCAAACTGCTGATCGTATTTCACTGAAATTTTGGATAGACGTAGAGGATAGAAGAACACATTGGCTACTCAATTTTGTTTTTTTTTTTAATTCCACGCAGACGAAGTCGTGGTCGAAAGCTAGTCAAATACAATACAATCCGACGTCAAAATTATTTAAAACACTCCATCTGTAGGTAACATATCTATATATCAATGTAATACAGGAGTACACTCAGATCAACGAGACGCGTCATGAGTGTAGGACAGTGGAAAATAAAGGCGAGTGTACACAAGACCGTTAAAACTGTAATATTCGTGTATAAATAATATTGGTGATTCTATAAAAGTGTGCATAATGCAGAAAAGAGAATAGAGTTGTACTTAGTAAGAAAAGCATACGAAAACCACGTCTCTTTTTGATTCGAACGGAATGAGTGTGATGACATTTTTCTGTATATTTCCGCTCAGTTAATGTAACTTCCTTTCAGTTCAAACAATGACTGTAAAGTTAAATTGCTAATATCGCAAGTGAGGGTTATTTATTCAAGTAATTTGGAAAGGCATATGTTTACTTGGAGCCAAATTTACATTTACTATATAATTTGGTATGTATTCTAACACAGGCCTGTCGCAGGACCTGTTCAACAAAGGTTTTGGAACAGGTATCGCGAGGTCATCGCCCCCACAATATGAGCTTGTAAAAATATAGTCGGATAACAGTATTTATCAAAAACCGATAATAAGTATAATGAAATGATTTATCTAGTCAGTCCACAGGGTTAAGTAAATAGACAGGACATTATTCTTTGTCAGTTCTTGCTGTTTTTAAGTGCGTAAAGAAATTGAATTTCGAATATACAGCAATACTGTTGCTTGCGACTGCGCCAACGTGGAATTAAAAAAAAATATAACCCATGTTACTCTGTGGTTACGAAGCTTTTCAATTGTGAAAGAATATTTAAATCGGCTCAGTAGTTTATGAATTATTTCAATACATACAAAAGTATAAAAATCCAAATCTCTACTCTGTATAACAGTATAAATAAGGAGAAACTAAATAAGGAAGAGAAACTAAGAAGGATATAATGAAGTAAAAAGGTAAAATAGTAAAGTAAGAAAGATAAGCCAAAAAAAGGCTGGGGAAAAAAGGAATAAAAGGTTCCTATGCCACGCCTCTGTGTTCCTTCAGACTATCCTCTACATCTATGCCAAATTTAATTGAAATCCGTTAAGTCATTTAGGCTACAAACTCTAACAAACATCCATCTAATCTTTTATATTTATAATATTAGTAAGATTAGTAAAAACGGATTAATAGAAAACAAAAAAATAGTCATTCAATCGATCTAAAATTTAACCGCTACTACGTAATAATAAACAGAAATAATACCTGGTTTTAATCTAGCGAATCAAAACAGTCCATTAACACATATCACGCGCAAAACTGGATTCGATAAAAATCTGTCTACAGACTAAGCAAAAAATTTGTGTATCGTCTGTTTTTTTCTTATTCTTATATTCTCATCATTCATAAATCTAAGCAAACTTCATTTGTTTTTAAATCTGGTTTTATTCCATTGAACTTTCCTGTTTTAATTAACGTTAACATTGCAGTGTCTGTGCAGACTGTTTTTTATTATTTTAGCTGTCGCCTTCGGCTATGTTTATAATCCTTCATTATTATATGTTCTTCTAGATTATGTTCTACATCTCTGTCAATCGTTTAAATCTGTTCAGAAGTTAAAGAGATATCTTCTAACAAATATCAATCCATCTAAACTTTCGCATTTATAATATTAATAAAAGTAAGTTTAGTACATTTTTGTTAATTTACCATTTTAGATCAATTTCCCAAAAGAAGGAGGTACTCAATTTGTCTGTACGGTTTCTTTTATTATTATTTTATATAAGCTTCAAAGTTTGTATTTTAATATAATTGCCAGCAACTTGTTTCGCACGAAATTAGAAAAAGTAGAGATTTTAGTAGGGATTTCTAGGGATGCTAATTTCTTTCTAGTAATTATAAGCCCATCCTACTAAATAAATTCAAAGAAATCATTATCATAAAGTCTTTGAGTTTGTTAATACATAAAAATATCTATGAAATACATTTGTACGTTAACATTATAAAGAGATAGCTTTATATTTCTGGTTGTGCAAAGTTTACCAAATAATTTTATTAAGTTATAGACATTTGCCATAGAATGTGGAAATACATCTATACTATTATAATAAAGCGTAAACACACACTTCTTTGTTGCCTAAGATATCAGCAATTACAGCATATGTTTGAATAATCCTATCTTCAATAAAAAGCCTTACACTTGCGTCACGCTTTAGGCTAAATATTTTCACGCCATTAAACTTAGGGGGTAAATATTTTGGATAAAAGCCCTAATGTGAGAAAGAGATCATAAGTTGCTGCCAACATCAAGGAACCAAGATTGCCAAAGTTTGTCATGTCATGTCATTTTGACAATTGCTATTGATAATTTGACACATGCAAACAATAAAATAAAATTTTCATAATTTCATGCGGATGAAGCCGCACGGGAACAGCTAGTTTTGAATAAAGTTAAATGTAAAAGGAATCATTGGACCTTTGACTTGTATCGACGACTTATGTTCTAACTAATCTTACTTATGTTCTAACCTTTTGGACACACCTTTTGGCCTTTAAAACCGGCCTATACTGAGGATGAAACGATATTTAGATATTTCTCATATTACCTTAGTTTGATTTTAACATAATAAAAACAAAAAAAGTTTCTTATTTACACCTTATTTAGGTAGGTATGAGTAACAAATCTTTAATTCATTCAATATATCAAATCTCCTAACCTCTGAGTAATCATACTAATACTTACCTAATATTATAAATGCGAAAGTTTAGATGGATGGATGTTTGTTAGAGTTTGTAGCCTAAACGACTGAGCGGATTTCGATGAAATTTGGTATAGATGTAGAGGATAGTACGGAAGAACACATACGCTACTCACTTTTGTATTTTTTAATTCCACGCGGACATAGTCGCGTCCGAAAGTTAGTAGTAAATACAAACATGAGTCATAAGCATAGCAAAAAATAGTTTAAATAACGTGTTAAAATTTGCAGTTACATGTTTATTATTCAGACAATGTATAAAATAAAATTTATTATTGTTTTTTGGAAGGAAAATCACGTGACACAAATGGAATATTGTTGCTAAAAAGTCAAAGTCAAGTATGGCACTAACTAAATATTTTGGATAAAAACCCTAATGCGGGAAAGAGACCATAAGTTGTTACCAACATTAAGGAAGCAAGGATGCCATGGTTTGTCATCATGTCATGACATTTTGACATTTGTAATTGATAATTTGACACATGTAAACAATAAAATCAAATTTTAATAATTGTATGCGGATGAAGTCGCACCGGAACAACTAGTAGTTAATAAAATTTGCTTACCGTACTCAATTCTTCATAGTCGACGCCATGTGGATGCGACTCGTTCGTCAACGCCCGCCACATTTTCAATCCATCCTTCTTTAGTAAACCCTCTTGCTTCCTTAGCACCAATTTCAACTGTCTACCGAATGCTTGCAAATCAATTTTATGCACATCTTCATCTTGATCCTGTACTTCGTGTACATTATCACGTAAACTTTCACTTGAACTACCATCACTATCACTAACTTCACTTGAATTCGATACACTAAACTGTACGCTCACTGTATTATTCAAATCTCCTATAATATCAACATCTTGGATATACTCTTTCGCTTTATAAAACATCTCATCGTTTAACAACGAAGGAGGGTTATCTGTTTTCCATGATTTCGTTTTATCATGTGGAACTTTGTTTGGGTTTGTTGTATGGATGTTTGTTTTATGAGCGTTATGGATATGCCGCCTCGCTAAATGATGCGTTAATTGAACCAAATGGTACTCTGGTACATGACTGTGATGCTCAACGTGGAAGACGTTCCGTAATTCGTCAGGGGTCATGTGCTCGTGAATCTGGAACAATAAATTTTATTGTTAATGAAGTTGGAAACATTCAAAACGTATAGAGGAGGCAGAGTTGACTTCACTTGAGACATTTTTCACATAGTCAGCTCTAACGCTATTTGATAGCCTCAAAACCATATGTCAATATATTTAATTGTATTTAAAATAATCGTCAATATTGTGTAAGTTAGTTTGTTTCTTTTCTTTCTTGATTAAACATTTTCGTTGTTAAGATATTGTTAATTTTGTTAAGAACTGCATATTTTAATGTTTATGTTGATTTTAATTTTATTTTCTATATCTTAGTATTATCGACTTTTATTACAGACTGTTTTAAATAGAACTTTGAAGGTTGATCAGTTAAACGCATATCCGTAATGGAAGTATTTTTTTAAAAATTTCATACAAATGTCAACAGTAAGATACTGGTAAACCTTGATAACGGTCAATAGCGTACGAAACGTGCCTTTCTAGATACATATCTAGATTTTTAAGATAAAGCTAGGATATATAATTTAAGATTGTTATTTTATACAATTTAGTTAACTCAATTTGACATTAGCACGTGTCCAAAGCAGTCAAATTTATCTCCAATCTATCTGATAATACAAGTACAGTCAGCTACATGAATGTAGCATTATCTTTAGAAACATGTATATGCATTAAGTTTAAAAATAAACATGCACTTATTCGTAAACTAGCTGTACCCGTGCGGCTTCATCCGCTTAGAATTAGAAAACTTTGGTTTAATGTTTACATTTGTCAAATTCTCAATTGCAAATGTCAAAATTAACGTTACCATAATAACCTTGCTTCCTTAATATTGGCAGCTTGTAATTTATGGTCCCTTTCCCCTACGAAGGTTTTTTTCCAATTAATTTACTCCAAAGTTTATTGGCGTGAAAATATATAGCCTAAAGCGTGACGTAAATGTAGGGTTTATTTATTAAAAAAAGAATTATTAAAAAATATGCTGTGATTGCTGACATCTTAGGCAACAAAGAAGTGTGTCTTTACGCTTTGTTATAATAGTATAGAAGTATAGATTTCACGTGGACACAGGCTGCAGCTAGTTCAAAATGTAGCACAAACTTTTAATTATTTTGGAATGTATGTGACCTAAAAGAAAAATTAGACATGATATATGATTATGCTTATTCTACCAATGTATTTATGGTTTAAATTCGGACGGAATGCAATTACCATACGTGTAGGCTTCACTTGTCGACCTCGATATAATGATCCAGTTATTATATAAGAATGATTTTGGACAAGTTTTTTATAGGTTAGTCTGCGAAGAAAGTATTGTACATTATTGCATTATTAAGAGCGGGCCACACTTTTGAATAAACTATCACAACTGTTGTCCGATTGTCGATTGTTTCGCAGACAATTCAACTGCTTAGTTGCAACTAAACATCGAGTAGTGCGCACCTCCATATAAGATCATAGGAATCAAAATGACTAAAAGGTTGTGTGATAATTTAGTTTCAGGTGTGTTTTAACGGTTTTAAATAGTCTTTTAAATGTCTACAATTGTATCTAAATTGAATTGTTATCTTTTTTAATGTTAACAAATTAATTTGCGATTTAATTTTATTAATAAAAATTTTTAATATAACAAATAAACATTTGACAATTGAATTAAAAAAAAAAACAAGATTGCAGTCAGAAATGCAAACATTTTCCTTTGTATGTGCAAACAATTTTGACACATATGTCTAGGAGCATAAAGTTTAAAATCACTTAAAGTGGTAATTAATAGATAAAATATGGATATGAGTCTTAACTCTAATCGCATAAAGTATAATTTCGGTAATCTACTTCAGTAACGAAACCTACAAATCGCAATTCGTATCAGATATTAAATTGAACCTTAAGTTGTTCGTCATAGAGTCTAATTTTAATTGTAATGTACGTTGCAAAATTCGGTTGCGTTCTGATTTAGTGGTAATAAGTGACGGTCACTGGTAAGTATCGGAACTTAGCCTGAAGGTCTCTAGAAAGTTAAACATTGGTGCAATTGTTTTGAAGGTTTTAGCTTTATACTAATAATCCCACCCTGCTTTACTTAAACAAAAACCAAATCACCATAGATCTATATAAATAGATAGGCGATTGTTTGTAAACGACAGCAAAGATAGCAAATTATTAATTCTAAAACACTTCGCGGCGACTTGTAAAGCGCCGGAATGGCGAAAATAAAATTACACAAAACACCACAGCTTAGCCTGTCCATTAATAGAGGTCTGTGCAAATCAGTAACGAATCTATAAAAATAATTCCTTGAAAATAACAAACCACCCTTATTGTAGCTGTTATGTCTATATTGTACAATTATTATTACTTTGATGTCAGTGTCAGCCGAGGTATGCAGTGATATTTCTACGTAAGGCTTTCTACATTTATACCATAACAATTGAAAATTGACATTTAAGTAATAAATCTACATTGATTGAAGATTTCAAAGTAATAATAATTGTAAAAAACATACAGATGACTGCCTGCTTCTTTTTGTAAGTCAGTCAGTAACTGCATAAAAATCATAGATCTACATGGACAGCTGGAAGAGACATTTTATTCTATATAATGTGTCTGCTATTTAATAGTCTATGCGTTTAACAATCCGACTTTATAACGAGATAAAAAGTATTACATAAGTTTACTTTCTCGTTACCTCGTACACCAAATACGTTTCAATCACTAGCGATCGTGTTCGTAATCCTTATTGGATAAGGAAGTATATTACGTAAGTATTTCTGGTTCCTATGCAAACATCTACGGATTAAAAAAGTCAATGACCTCTGACAGATAGAATATATGCATATAATTTTTTTTTTTCAAAATATATTTACGTTCCTGATAACGAGAAACCAACTTTGAGCGTCGGTGGCTCAGTGGTTTGAGCACTTGACTTGTATTTTACAGGTCTTGGGTTCGAATCCCATGATGTACCAATGTGATTTTCGGATTTTCATATGTAGGTACATAATTTACCCGACGTTCTTACGGTGAAGGAAAACATCGTGATGCAATCTGCACATAACAGCGAAGAAATTTAAACATATGTGTGAAGAACCAACCCGCAGTACAGCGTGGTTGACTATGTCCTAGTCACCCTAACTTGGGTAGGCTACGAGCCCCTCAGTGAGGACGTATAGTGAGCTGGCTATGATGATTGACGGGAAGAATGACGCACGTAGGAATATTATAAGCTACTCTTTTTTTTTAATTCCACGCTGACAAAGTCACGAGTGACAGCCTGCATTAATGTTATAGGAAAGAATAGTTGTAATGAACAATCTTCGAAACAATTACCGCTTTACTAAGCTAAGTAACAAAGGTATATAGAAAGCTGATGCTCACGGGAATATTTTAGACGACCTTTTTTTATTCCGCGCTGACGAAGTTTGTGTGCGACCGCTAATTGGAATAAAATTGTGTTTCGATTTTCTTCATAAATATGGTTTCCAAGTTGCTAGACATATTTTTATTGTTCTGGCCTAAAATAAAACCTCGTGTAATCATTTCGAAACATCTCTGTAGAAAATCTTTCAATGATTTTACTAAACGATCATTGAAGCATGAATTTTGACATAATTTTTTTATGTCCCTAATTTTACCAATTACTAATAAACAGGCATACATTTCGTAAGTATTTCGTCCGTTTCCGACGGCTTACTAATAAAGCGTAATATTTTTTCACACGTTTACTTACGCACAGCTAACATCCGTTCGAAAAACCTTGTAAGTTACAACACAAATGGAACGTGATAAAAACTTACTCTTACATTTGCTTAAAACGCTCCGATTATAAAGTTAAAAGATAATCACAGGTTAAAAAAAGCGCGCGAAAATCGCAAACTGTTGTACATCTGACATTTGATCAGACGCCATTTTGTACCCGCTCGACTTGACTGCCATCTTGGCCCGACCTTGCTCCAGAAAGCAGTTGGCTCGTTTCGCAAGTCGGTGGGAAAATTCGTTCATTTGTCGGCTAAGATTTTTATTCCGTCATATTTATGCTCGTCTAAGATTTATTACCTTCACGCAACATAATTTACATAAAAATTCTAACATTTCACTACTAGTAATTCCACGCATAGCAATCATTTTAGCATTGACAAACTTTCTTTTGATATCTCTTAGGCTGTCTTAAGAGTGAGAATGCTTCCCTTGCCTAGTCCAGGAATTTAATTTACACTCCACATTTATTTCATACCATAATCGGTAAAATATCATGTCTTAACCAACGGTTACATTTTACTGTTACTATATTGTAGTTATATCAAGGAAAAATACGTCAAAAAACAAACATAGTTATCCTTGTTTAATCACGGTTCCTTTCATTGTGCCTAATAAACGCAGAGCATTGTTTCGCGGGTCATTGTCTGCGAGCAAACTTGTTTTTACGTCAATTCCTGCATTAACATACAAACGAAATCTCTCATAGCATATATAATATGTTATGCAAACGATCCGTTATTACAACTTTCAGTTTCTTGAAGGATTTATTTCATTGTCTGATAAAGTTGATTGAAACATTTTTGAAGATAAAATTATATAGCCCAAAATAATTGCCAGATAGAATGCTCCGTATTACAAACAGTTTAAAATAAATTTAAATAAGATCAGAAACTCATATCCGAGTATAAACAAGGAGGAAAAGTTTAAATACAAGATATTTGAGCCTTCTTACATGCAATTAAAGATAAAAAAAGATATCAGGAGAAAATTATTTGTGGAGTATAGTAGTAAAAAGTTTGTAAAAAACATTCATCTAACCTCAAAAACTCGATTGTGACGATAGCCAACTAAATATTTTAACTCGCTCCATAAGTGTAGTTTTTTAGTACATTAACATGGCTTAGTTTTTTTCTGATTAGTATACATTGACAGTTTCTTATGCTCATCTATAATTACAGCAAAATGGCGGCAATCGAACAAGATGGCGGCCGATAACTTGTCAGTTTGCTCGTAATGTAGTCAATAAGTATGTCGTGAACTTT